GGGGGGTCCTATCGCTTTCCAATGAAATTAGCAAAATCCGGCATTCTACGGTCACCCTAGTCTTAACTACAATTACGGAAGTTTTGACGAATGCTCATCTGGGAATAGTACGACTAACCATATGTGTATGCTTCTGTACTCCGCATTTGCGAAAAGGATTGACCAGATCCAAGTAATTCGAACAAGGTTTGGGGACGAACTACAGTTCATTGACACAAGACTGTGCGATCTCGCGAACACTGTGCCGACACTGTTTCCTCCTGAAGCATCAAGAACGAACTCCCAAACATTCCAAGCTGCTGGCCTTGCTGGGTGGGCAGAGAAAGTTGGCTTCTCTTCCTCCTGTGGGTGGTCATGCAAGACCACAGCTGCCCATCTGCTGGCTGACATGCTTTGAGTGGTTGAACGTACACGTCGTTGTGGTAGTTTGGGAGATATCATGTAACTTTTCGAATTCTAGCGTGGTGTGAAGGACCAACGGTGTTGCAGAACTGCAGTCCAGAACGACAGACAAACATGCAAGCAGATAGACTGAAATAGACAGGACAAAGAGAAACAAAGGCAAACATGCGAACGAAGATTCGTCTTACACACGGTGCCAAGCAGCAGGGCCGGACAGTACCATCGACAGTATGTGCAGTGGTGATTGGCCAGTTTCGATACCATTGCCAGACGATGACCGTAGGGTAGAGCGTCGCAGAACCACCTACTTCGTGAAACATGTATAAGGCCGTAAAGCCTAGCATCTGCATGCTAATGCTATGATTAGCTGATTAGCAGTCCCGTAGAATCAAAGTCCCATAGTGGTCAAGGCTCCTATACGGGTATACGGGTTTAGGGTTTCGAGATCCTCCTTAGGGGTTTTTTGCTCCTACATTGGAGAATCTTGCATCTTGCGCTCTCCGGAGGTGGGAGCCTCGCCCTCCACCTTCACGATGCTCTCGAGGGTGTATACCTCAGCTGTTCTGGCTAGCATCCTGGTGGGTCATTGCAGGGAGTAGAACGGGGTACCGGGCTGTCTGGGACTGAACCTTTCAGTAGCGCTTTCAGAGCCAGAGAGTCTGAACAAAAGGCCCTGGCCGCGGCCTTTCAGGCCATAGAGTCTGTGATAAAGGCCAAACCAAAGGCCGATTCTCTGCTGACGCAGGCACTCTCTTGCCATTCTCATTGAGATAGTAGCGAAGCCTCAAGTCGGAATCGCTGAAGCTCTCAAGCCAGGCCCAGGTGGGACTTAGGGCTACTGCTACCACAAGCACCACGACGACCACTCCTGCTGGTATTTCTTTGCGCAGATTGCAGGGTGCCGCGGCAGGGGGCTCCGATAATTCGGTCGTAACATTAGCACAGTGCTGTCGATGTTTGTGGACTGAAGACATGAGTGGTTTCTTGCGAGCTCTTTGGGAAAGACGCCTAGGACTTTGGGATTCTGCGGGAAGCTCTGCAAACTGACACAACAAATATGCTCTGCAGCCTGGCAGTTGCCCGGCAGTCATGCTCGACAAGTTCAGCATTTCATGACACGGCGCTTGTTGAGCACTACTGATGTCATGACACGCACTGCTGGCGCGTGGTGTGCAGGTGCGGCGTGCGCTGGGCTGTGCGGGTCTCAGGTCAGTCTTCCGCCATAGAAACCTTGCCCCTTCGAAACATCCCTCTCCCATCTTTGTGTCACCTTTCCTGCTATCCCACGAGTTGGCACACGCGTGCCTGCTCTTACTGAGCATCCACGGCTGCAATCTAATCAAACAGATACCACGTGCTTGAGCATCCCACAGCTGAGACAGCATCAGCAAATCCGAGTGATTCCCGGACTCCCGAGGCTCACGCTGCATGGCTCCGGCTGCAGAATCTGCAGGGGCGAAGAGCTCGAGCCAAGACGGACCAATGTTGCGCTCTCTCTGCCACTGCGCTGTGCTTGACGTTCCAGACATGTCAAAGCCGTATGTCAGGTTTGGGTGCATGTGTGATGCAGTTTGCCATGCACAGCCGACGCGTCAATGGAATACTGCCGGTGTGATGGTCTGTGAAGCCAGCAACATGCAGCGACAAATCCTGCTTTGCCCACGGTGCTGCCATGACGAAACCACGGAGTGGTCAAGAGGCGGACTGCGGCGGAATCTGAGCAGCTTGCATTGTAGCTGCCTGCATCTTGATACATTTTCTGCAATTGTCACTTTACACAGACGCCAGTTTACCAAAGTCAATAAACGGCCAACGAACTGAATTCCTAACAACCTCAGACATGTGTTTATATGTACAGAGAGGTTTAGATACACATCCGTATGTCATCTTTCCTACTTTGCACACCTTGTATCATGTACAACACTCACCGTAACTGAGCTGTAGCGTCTGATCACGATTTGCTATTGCAAAGTCGTTCATGAGACGGTGTCGAGGGCGACGGAGACACTCGCGGCCTGATGAAGGCTGCTTTGATATTACCATCGCTGCCATGGGATCGTTTATGACCGTTTGTTTACTCTTAACTTTAGCCACCATGGGCAACACATATTAACGGCGGCAGTATATAGAAGATGCAAGACGCGCGATGCAATGCGGGAACATGATGTGCAGCAGCCGGCAAGTACTGCCAGCGTGCCGCGCAAAACTAAACAGCTTCTAGCTTTTGTATGCACATAACGTAGTTTAGACCTGGCTTCCATCCGGCATTACGGGCTTCTCTACTACATCTTGGGCCGACCGAGTGACAAGTTTTTACTTTGTTTCTGTGTTCAGCCCACTGCAACTTACACAAAATACATGTAGGACCTACCAGCTGCAACATCGTCCGGCAAGGTCTGGCTCGAAACACGAGCTGAAGCATTGCAGCTTGAAGTCTGTGGACGTGGAAGCTGTAGCAGACCACTTTCGAGTTTCTTGCCAAGATCAAGCGCCACACCCTGCTTACGCGCCTCCTGCCCCGGCATTGAATCAGCCGGTAGTGACACCTCGGCCCATTTTCTGCAGGGACCCTCAAACGGGACGGGCTCGGAAGCTTCGCCAGTGAGGAGGGTGCCTATGCCCCCTGAGCATTAACATGTTTACGCCAGCTTCGTGTGTTTCTGATGGACAAGCCTCCCGCTCTTATGCGCCTCTAGTCGAAGAACTACTCGATTGATCTGAGCCACCTTACGGTACGATAATGAATCCCCAACGCGGTTTCGGTCGTCTGATCTGGGCCAGTTCTTAGTAAATCTGCAAACCCAAGCCCATCTCTGGCCCTTTGCTTGAGACAGCGGCCATCAGAAGATCGGCCTGCTTGGAATCGACGTTTTTTGTTGCTGTTTTTCACACCGTCTGACGAGTGCGGACGCCGTGAGCCGGTCAGTGAGATCTGCTTCTCTTCTAGATAGTGCGGGCAGAGAGAGGAGAAACCACAATCTACGGGAGGCATCATGCCGCGTCCCAAGCACAGCTATTTGCATTCGAAGCGGAAGGAGTGACTGCACGGAAAAGTGGACCCGCAAGCATCCCAACACTCACGGCAAGAAACACGGAATTTCATCCTGAAAGACACCTCGTCCCGCGGCCTTCGGATCCCAGTCTGCACTGGCTTCCTGGGAGTTGAAGTGCTGCGGCCTTGGGCACATCTTACAAAGTGGCCCTGCCAACTCCCAAATCTCCCTCCATTTCTTTATAACTCGCGCAGCAGGGCTCGTCGAAGCATAGGGCATCATCGATGATGCTGCATGCCGTGTCCTACAGCCTGCTCAACTCATCCAACGGTGCATGTCACTGAAGACGTGACCGCTTTGATGCCGGTTGTGGCACAAACGCTTCTAGCAATCGCTTGCACTTCTTCGCGTAATTGGTCTCTGGTCTATGAGGGACCGCACTTCCCACTATGCTTCTTTCCCAAAGGTTTTCATGGACTCAGCAGCCTCGCTTGCGCATTGAACCGCTGTTTGTCCTTTGGAAGTCTTGACGTCTTTTTGCGCACCATGCGCAAGCAGCATCGAGACGAAATCCAAGCCGGATTGGCAAGTGCACTTGGCGGCTGCCAGATGCAGCGGAGTGTAGCCTTGACTGTCAAGCTGATTGACAACACATCCCATCTCCAGAAGCGCGCGGCCTGCAGCAACATGGTGGTTTGCAGCGCAGGCGTGTAGTGCGCATGCATTATTGGGGTCTGCGCCAGACCGCAGGAGATCCTGAATTTTATCAGGCGGAGGGGGTGTCATGCTCAGAGTGCAAGCATCGAACAACTCCTTGTCTTTTCCAGTCAAGACCTTCGGTGTCACTTTCGGCTCCTTCGGAGGTACCGACACTTCCACCACAGCTGCAGCTGCTTTTGATGTGAATCCTGTTTGCCTGATGCACAGGCACACGAACCAGTAGTTGGATAGTGGCTCCGTCACTCCAACTTGTTGAAAGCCCATGCGCGCAAAATGGCGGGCCAGCTTGACATTAGCTGTAGCCCCCAACTCCTTATCTTGATCAGACATCGTGATGGCCCTCGATTTGACACCTCTCGCCGGAGCTCCGAAAGGTTCCAGCACAGCCAGCGTGCACATGTCTGCAAATCGGAGTTCGTTGAAAAGGCATTCCACGAAGTCTAAGCCGACATCTCGCTCGCGATGCGAGGGCAGCAAGTGCACCTCATCAAGATAGAGCAATCCACCGCGACCTTTTCGTGCGAACTCTTCTCGCAGCTTGGCCTTCCAAGAAGCTTTGGGACACCCCTTGCTGTCGAAAAGATTCACGGAGCACTCCATGAGCTGGTGAGAGACGGAATCACAAGCGGCATAGAAGCTTTTGCCCAGGATCTCCTGAATCATCAGGGCACCTGACATCCTGCCCACCACAGCACCTGTTTGATCATAGGCTTCACCACCGACCATATATAAGCCAGAATATTCGTCTTCTTTGAGGATGTATTCGAATCGATAGTCGCGTGCACGGCCATCGAACCTTAACTCTGACTCTGCAGACTCGTCATTCTCGTCCTCCTCATGATCTGGATTCAGATTGAATCTGAAGCCGAAGGTATCCTTGGGCAACTCATCGTCCCGATTTCGCACCGAGAGCATCGGAGCAAGATTGAGTTGCAGGCTGTCCAGGCCTACTTTGGAGTGCTTGACCCTGATTGAGAGGCGGTCACTTTCAATCAAGTTCACTCATTGCAGCTATAGTCTAAGCCTGAAAATCCGATCGCAAGACCAGACGGCCAAGAAGAGCTGACGCTTGCGCTGTGGTGCTCACAGTCAAGAACGTCAAAAAATCACTGGGATGAATGACAGCTCATCTTGGAAGCGGGCCACCAAAAGGTGATGTTTGCGTAGGCGGACTTCGTCGAGCGAGGCAGCATTGGGAAACTTACCCTGCAAGCACCAGAGCAGGAGGTCAAGCAGGCCCTCTGCTCCACACTCCGATTGATGCTGAAAAGGACTCATGATCGAGTTTCAGTTCCTGCACCCGACTCTTCTCGCTTCAACTCAAGCAGCCCGGTGTTTGCTTGCCCTCTACTCGAACATGTGCGCAATCCTGCATGCAGCGACATGTTGGCCTGAGGCACTCATCACTGACCTGCAGCACGGGGCAAGTAACAAAGCGGTTCAAGCCGATCAGGTAGACCGCCGGCGATCTTCAACATGTGCAAGGATGTCAAAATCGGGGGGCCCTGACCTGGGCCTCCAAGGAGACCTGCCTCAAACCCTAGACCCTCAACGAAACCGTCGACCAGCCTCCAAGGAGAATTGCTTCAAAGAAGGGATTTGCGGATCCAAGTCCGGCATGCGCACATGCACGCAGCAAGTCCTGGTCAGGAGTCGCATGGGAACAAAAGCCTCGGACAAATTCAACACTGATCCTATACAGCATTTAGGGTTTTAAAGGTTAGGGTTAGGTTATTGCTCAGAAGGTCCCGCTTAAAGTCGGACTTCCCCCACAAGAATAGCATGACAGCAGTCCTGGATGCCAGCATCTCGCTGGTCGCCTGCGAACACAGCTGTCTGAATCCAGGCTTTAGGGCTTAGGGCGATGAGCTGCACCCACATCTTCTCCACGACAGAAGTAATTTCCCTCACTCACCAGGAATCTGATGTTGTCTTTTCTCGTGCTCCGTCATCAAAGAAGCCCCTTTAGCAGCATAGTATATTCGAGCCAACTGGAAAACTTGAAGGGACCAGCGAGGAGCACCGCAGAGTCAGAATCTTCATGCGTATTGCTTTCCCCCACCAGTACTAGTAGAAGCTTGTGATAGCCTATGATGAACTTTTCCCGAAGCAAAGCCCAGTGAGATCAATCACTCATGTAATGTAGGGGTCATGATAATTGGAATAGGGTTTTGGGAGTTCTTGGTTATATAGCTGTAGTATAATACACCCCAAGCCCTGTTCTAATTATTCAGGCCCTTAGCCTTACAATAGAGATTCTCGAAGGGGTGCTTCGTTGAGGGCGCCTTCCTTGCCCGAGCCACGGCGTCCACTTCCCCTTCGTCGGCCTCGTCCCTCTCCCGATCAACCTTTCCGCTGGGGAGGGGCGGCTTCGCAACAAAGAGATGAAGCCCCAGGCCCCCAAAGACCCTAAACCCTGAACCGAGCAATGGAAGACGACAATGAAACTAATGAGACGTGTGCATTTTGTCACCGGAGTCACGTGACCGGATCTGGCCTTGTTCTTCATGGTGCCACGGATCTTCTCCTGATGCAAGACTACTTGCAGCTGCATCAGCAGGAAAAGGGTCTTCGGTACTTTGCCTTTAAGCGCCCAAGTCTGGTCTCCTTAATCAGACATGACCACGATGACATTGTGGCTGATGACGGTGGTGATAACCATCATCACTGTGACTACAGTGCTACCTGTTTGACCTGGGCATAGCATTCAGTATGCCATCATCAACATCTTCGTCAGTACAGCCATCATCGTCATCGTCATCGTCGTCATCATCATCTTCTTCTTGAGCCGTCACCGTTCTCACTACGAGTACCATCAACATGCTGTGCCCCTTCTCGTCGACACGACCGTTCTCCTCGTTGCGGCATCATCATCATCATCATCAGCATCATCATCATCACAGTAATCATAATCCGAATCATAGACATCGTCACTTTCATGTTCAGTTTCATGTAGCCCTTTGTCAGGATGAGGGCCGAGTCAGAAAAACGTTGGCAGTAAAACCTCCATCAGAAAACGGGGAGGCGCGTTCAGACAACGCCTAGGCCTAGGCCTCCGTCAGAAAACGCAATGACAAAACTCAGCAAAGCGGGGGTGGCCCCTTCAGAAAAACTCAAAGCCTTTCCTTGCCGCAGACACACGTTTAGATAATAATCGTCTAATCAGGTGCCTAATCCCGAGAGACACATGCGGCGCAGCCATAAAACATCATAAAACGAAAAGTCTCTGTGCGACAACCAGCAGCCGTAAAACGAAGAGGCTCTGACAACGCTACAAGCTTCGAACCTGCGAATGCAACCGCGACAGAGGAGACGAACAGTTTGGTCATTTGGTCTATCGCGCGTGTGTGGAAGCCCCATCCGAAAAACAAAGGAGCCAGTTGGGACAACGTGCAGCCGTCAAGCGAAGAGCCTGGTTCCGAAAACGCGACAAGCTTCGAAGTCACGTGTCACCACCAGAACGGCAAGCAGCATCAACCGTCTTCGTCACCCACCAGAGCAGCTGTACCAGACGCAGGTTCGGACCCAGGGTGAGAGCACTGCAAAAAATCAAGAGCAGATTCCACGCGCTCTGCGCACGCCTGGAAGGTGTTGACCCGATAGCACGGCAAGTCGAATCCGTAGAGATACGCCACCTGGCACACACCATTCCCGCAATCCAGCCAAATGCCTGCATGCGCCCCAGTCTCTCGCATCTCAAAGGTTGGACTGTCCGATGGCCTGATAGGCCAAATGCCAGAAAAGAACCCCCGAGCAGGCTCTTGTCTGGTCGTGCGGCGAAGGGCCTTGGACGCCTCCTCAACATCGTCGGGTGGCGAGCCCCAGTCTCTCTCGAAAATGTCCTGGCAGAAGTGCAAGAAGTTCCGACAATCACAAGACTGCGTTCGGCACCCTACTTGGGATCGAAACACTTCGTAGCTGCATGGTCGCAAGTTTGCAGAGCCGGGTGGGTCATGGAGATGGTAGAAGCGTGCCTTGTACCAAGTTTAACCTGCTGCTTTGTTTATTGCATGTCAATGTATCTTTCGACGTGCCTATCCGCCTGCCGTCACCCTGTTTCCTGAACAGCCTGACCAACTCGCCTGTAGCGGCGAGATGTCAGGCAGCGCGTAGTAGACGCAAAAGTCTGGAGGCTGCGGGCCGTCTGCAGCAGCTTCGAATTCGAAGGGTTCGAACGTTCACTCCGTGGCGTCAAATCAGATATGAGAAACATTAATAACTTGCAGATTTGCTTTGCTCCAGCTCTTTTCTGATGCCCACATGCCCTCGTCTCTGAGTCTCGACGCCGAGGCTTCTCTTGGTCTCCCAGGCCCCACCCCGAAAACTCGAAGCGCTTCGAGCTCTGCCTGTGCGGGCTATAGGAATCGAGGTCTCGCCGCTGGCTCGCCTGGCCCGATGCGGGGGGATTGACACTGAGTCCCAGGGCGGCACTTCTCCAGAGTCCTGCAACATCCTTCAAACACCATGCCGCTTGCAGGATATTGGGTGACCCCCGCCACCCTTTGCTAGGACCTCTGAGCACTGCTCCCAGGTTGTGGTGCGGAGGTATTCTCCGGCATCTCCTGAGAGGACACGACCCGAGCCTTGTAGTAGCGCGTAAGGATCATAAGTCTGATTGGGTTTCGGCCAAAGAGTTTTAGTCATAGCACTCGTCGGAGCGATACTCGTAGGAACAGGTTGCCTCTGGGCAGATGCGGAGGAAGCACCTACGCTCATGTGATGCCGGCAGAGCTCCTGGATCTGCGACTCCTTCTTCTTTCCTGATGCAGGTGGTTGCATGAAGATTTTCGATCGGGGACCCTCATTAGAGCCAGCTGTAGCCCAGGACCTAGACCCTAGATCATAAGCCAATAGGATCTAGAGTGGCCCCCAGATAAGCTACCCCTAGTTTTCTGAGGCTCCCATATGTTCGCGATGACTTTGGGGTAGCTAGGCAAGTCCACCAGAGAGATGCCCTTGATTGTCGGATTCTTTCATACATCAGGGCACCTTGGTTTAGGGGTACTGCTAGTCAGGCTCCTACTGCTTAGGGTGCTATCGGATCGCAGCAGGGTGCAGTAATCGCAGCACATCCCCGTGGACATCGGCTTGGAAGTCTGTTGCTCTGTTCAGCAAGCGAGATGCAAAGACTGGAACCGTACATGTGCCGCGAGGCGAGATTTGTTCGTCAAAACCACACGGAACTCCGAAGTCTTCGCCTTGGACCTTCCATCGGTCATCCTTTTCCCGCAATCCCAATTCCGATGGCGCCGGGCCCCTGGTGATAAAAGGCGCCAGCGCTGCAAGCTGAGCGACGCGCGAATTCTTTGCAGCTGCACTGTGGTGCCCTGCACCGAGAAGCACTGCTAAGTGAGGGAAATTCATCTCAAGACGATTTCAAGCAGCCGCATTTTACAGCATTGTCTTGTCGCTCACAGAGACCGAATCCCAGCTGCTGGACCGTCTTGCCCCAATGAAGCTGCGGAGAATGAGACGTCAGGGTGCCGCCCCCGAACCCATCCTGTCGCATACGCCACCGAACCTCGAAGACACTTTGCCTAGCTCAACAAATCCTGATAGCAGCTTTAGCCTATGCCTTCTTTCTTAAGCGTTCCTGCCCTGAACGCCCGAAGAATGATGCTCACACCAGAACTCATCATGTGTTCCGCATATTGAGTAGTCTGTCTCAAGGTGGTCTCTCTCGGGTGCTAGGCACTGCACTGCAGGACGCCTTGTACTTGATCTTTGGCAGCTTGAACCTTTGATCAAGCCTTGCATGACACGATCAGCAGCAGGCAGCTGGATGCCAGAGGCAAACAGTTGTGCTGTGAGAGAATGGAAGCAGCGCAAGGTTCAGTCTCAGCTGCGCGGTCGGATTGAAAAAGCCTGTTGTGCTTCGAATGTGCTCCTGTAAGATACTGTAAATGACTCTAAAT